TTTTTTTTTTTTTTTAATGCTAACTAACTTAAGTAAGTGGCAGGAAAAGCATTTCTTACCAACAAAGTCATCTTTTACAGTTCCTTGTGGAATTTTATAATCAACCTTGTCATTTTTATAAAAATGAAACACTTGGAATGTGTCAAATATGAAGTCACCAAGGTACTCATCCATATAGACGGTCAGAATGCGCCGATCAAAGCTATCAATTGCACGCCCACCATACATAACCTAGAAATGAGTTACATCAGTGTTATAGCACTGGGGGCGGCAAATACTGTTATTAAAAAATCACCAAAAGGTCCAAACCACTATAGGCTTTTGCTTTTGACTGCGTGGTACAACGCTGTCTCCTGAAGGAATAGCAAGTACATTGGCTCTAACCCCTTCTCAAGGGGGAACAAGCAGGAGGCACTCGGACCTAGTCTGGAGACAGCTGCTGTGGGCCACTCCTCAGCACCAGTCCTGCTGATTTACATGCACCAGTATGTAGCTCCTTAGCTCATGCTCAGCTCTGATTAAGTGCTGCAAAATAACAGCTTTCTGTAGGGTTTCATGTCACAGCAGCTACGCTGAACTGGCCAGCTACTGCACATCTCCCATCTAGCCCAGCCAGAACTCTAGAGAGCTGTGTGTACATCTCTCCCATCAACGACACTCCACTGTGCTAGTAATACTGTAAAGTTGTGCTGTTCAGTACCTTTCCTCAGAGAATCCCAAGGGTGTTCTCACTAAAATTAATTAAGCACCAGAACTCCCCTGTTGTGCAGTTACACACCATGGCCCAATTTCATTGGGACAGTGAGATTAAAAGTGACTTGTTCAGGGCTACACAGGAGTTTCCAGAGAACCCAGGAGAGATTTCTCAGCCAGCTCTCCTGGATGATACAGCCCATGCAGAAAGGAAGCTTCATTGATCTGGATTCTTTTACCACCAAGTGTTCGTTAGTGACATTGTAGGCACTCACCTCACCAATAAGATATTTGAGACTGCTCCAGGGGATATTATCGTCATTTTGTTGGAAAGCTTTCGTCAAGTATGTGTTAAGAATTTCCATGCAGACCTAATAAAGTTGTTGGAACATGTGAGATATAAGAAGAGTCATAAATCAGCTATACATATCCATAGATTTTATTTAATGTAGTTCTTGTTTGAAAACTATCAATCATTTCTTTCTCAAATAATTAAGAAGTTAAGTATAAATCCTCTTAAGAAAAGAAAGCCATGAGAGAGGCAATATAAACATGAAGGACTGGGAATCTGATTAATTTTTAGTGGCCAAAATTGACATAGAAGATTGGGCGTCTACATGACTTGGTCCACAGCAGCAGAAAAAAGTGAGGCAAAATGTTATTGTGAGCAAGCCATTGTAATTATCTTCTTACCTGGAAATCAGATTCATTAAAATCATACGGGACGTTCCAGCCAACCTTCCCAAACTTCCTTCTCTCCTGAACCACAGCATGGAAAAACGCCAAGACGTAGACTAAGGGTTTGAAGGCAGGATGTGGGCACTGCTCTAAGGCTTCCTGGGGAATTTTGAAGTAGGTGGCTCTCATATTCAGTTTCAGACCATTAGGTGGTTCTGTCACAACCTATCAAAATAATTAGAGAAGCCATCAATTACTGGATAGCCTCAGGAAAATAAGCTGTAAATATATCACGCTAAGTAAGCTATACAAGGCAAGCTTGAAAACTTTTGACAGCTTTCCAAATTCATATCAATATGGAATTATTTTTTAACTTTATCAAGGTAAACACATATGTAAAAAGAAACTTGGTGTTATTTTAGAAAGAGTCATGTTATTGGAAAGACATTAATATTTATCATACTTCAAGATCTAATTTACTGAAATATCAGTACTTTACACATTTTGGTGTGTCCTACATATCCCCACAGTAAGATGGCTTAACAGTCTTTGATATGGCTTTACTGATGATCGAACTGAGGCAGAGCCAGCTTCCTGGCAGCTTTTTCAAAGCGCTATAAAACCTCTGTTCTCACTGCTCATGGCTAGACCTAGAAAGTGCGTATTTGCAGTCTTTTAAAGACACATTCATGCTCACTCCAGAGCTGTCATTGCTACACTAGAGCACATATTGGGTGGATCTTTCACGCCACTGCTTTCAAATCTGTGAAATAAAATAATTATGTTTACATGCCTGGTTCACCACAACAGAAGTAAAGCAGCCACAGATAAGAACATTAGGACAGCATCATGCCTTGTGCCTTCAAAATAATCAGCTCAGCTTGCTTGTGATAAATGCTGCAGCCTGAAGTAGCAGCTGGAAACCATTATCCTATTACAATGTCTGCTCAACTGGCACTATTGCCAGGCTAGACACAGACCTCAGTTCTGCACTTCAGCATCAGGACTGACAGGACTATTTCTGTCTCTCTGGATATTCCTTACATGTGGTGACATTTTAGCCTAAAGAGCATTTGTCACATATTGTCACATTTCCAGGTTTACTCACAAACCTCTACTCCGAAATAACTGATGAAGAACTTTAACCCAAAGGAAAAATCACCGTAAGCTAAACAGATGATGAAAAAAGGATTTGGCTTATAAAGACAAAAAGCTAGCACCAAGAGCCCAAGTCAACATGCTGCATTCAGGTCCCAAAGCCAGTCTGTGTTGTGGAATAAGAGCGGGAGGACATGCCCCCTGGCTGGGGTTTCCCCACTGCACAGTACCTTTAATGACTTCTGCAGTATTCCAATTGGGAAGCCCTCGGTCGGGTCAGTAGTCAGCCAGAGGCGAAAGTCTGGGTGAGGCTTTGTAATTTTCTCCAGTGCCTTCTCCAGATTGACAAGCCACCTCACCAAAAGGTGACAGTTCTGCAGCATTAGCCACTCTCCACGAACCACCACATTCTCCAGCATCTGCAAAGCAATCTTGAGAGAAGGAAAAAACTGTCTTTGAGTAACTCTCCCTTTAACCAGTAAGCAAACTGTCTCTGGTGAGTTAGTGCAATGGATTTCTTCCTGCTAGGAAGCACACTCAGCCTTTTAGTTAGTTTTAGTAGACTTACCAGAACACTCCTCGCTGAGAACAGACCTTTCCAAGATGTTACTCTGAGATGCTTTTTTTATTTCGTTAATTTCTTTTGAAATCAAAAGTCATGCAGAGCATTGAAGTATTTCAAAACAGTACAAGAGCGTGGATGGCCCAGAAGAGGGTGAAGATCAAAGCCTAGGAAGCGGTGGTCTAAATGAATCTAACAGGAGTTCTCCCACTGACGGAATTCACAGCAAATTCAGTCAGCTGCTAAGCTTTGGACATCCCTGCCTTAGTGTCGGTAACAAAATGGAAAGCTACAGGAAAGAGAGCAGCAGGGTATCTTTCTGGTAGCAAACACTGACTTCCAGTGAACTCATGTCCATACACAGAGACACAGGGTCACCGATTAACCTTTGAAAGGATGCAGAATAACATCTTTTCAGCTCAACTATTTTTTAACAGACGACAATATCATTCTCATTCAATCAGCCAAATGCCCCTTTCATGTTACAGGAAAGCATTACTCCCAGGCTGGCAAATTGTATGCTATGTCTGAACCGCAGAGTAACTTCCTTTAAAATGGGGCAGGCCTTTGGAACGGGAATTCGAACAAGCCCACATCAGGAGCATAATTTGAGTTCACAGACTAACTGCTGCCCACAACACGTCCCTCCCCTCCCACCAGAGTTACCTGTTCCTGGCCTTGTCCCATGGCTAGCAATTTGAGTCTATCCCCTCCAAAGCCTGTCCTCTCAGCCAGTTTCATGAGGTCACTGACAGGATCAGAGCCAGGACTTAAGATAAAAACGACCGGTGAGTAAGGACTGCTCTGCTCAAAGATAGCTTCAAAGCTGATCACAGGGGGCTGCACATACCTGGCAGGAAAAGAAGCACAATAAACTGCTAATTTGCACAAGAGCGGCCATCTTGCGTAAAACAGGACTTTTACACAAACATCAAAGCTCTTTGCAGACTGCACATAGAAACAATAGAGACAAATCACATGCTGTTGTTTTTAAGCAAATTACAAAATCGTTTCCATAGTTGATTACAACTCCAATTCTGTGCAAAATACCTGAATGGTGTGATTCAGGTTTGAAAGAAGAAAGTGACTTACTTCTCACTCATTGTTAGAGTAACATAGTCCGTTACTGCCCGATAGAGCCGGTCCACCCGGAAACACCGTAAAAGTAGGAGTTTCTGAAAGTTTGTGAGATCGTTCTGGTACTGCATGGGGAAGGGCATCTGCTCCAGAGCATCTGTATCATACCACTGGCAAGAAAAGATGGGAGACAATGCAAATGGATCAAATTACTCTATCAATGAAATTACAAGGAAAGCAGACAAAAGCAATTTGATTAACGAGGTGCCAAGAGACACAAGGAGAACAAAGAATAAAGTCAACCAGCTGCAAAGAAATATTAAAAGATTAAGTGAATGTAAAAAAGTCAACTTCTTCTAGTCCAGAAACACATTTGTACTTTAATTTTATGTCAAGTAATTCTCTGAAGATACAGAAAATAGCATCTCAAGCAAAAAGTATTAACAGATTGTTTACAGAAAGACTTCTTATAAAGCAAGATGACATGAAATGAAACTAAAGGCAGAACAAAGGAGTCTGTGTTTGTAACTAGCCTATAGAACTCCCTGCCACAAGAAGATCACAGTACAATTTAGCAGTACAAAAATAACGGTGAAATGTTGACTCTTGAAATCAACAGCAAAAACTCCACTGACTTCAACAGGGCAAATAACTCATCTAAGGCATTTGACTGGAAAATTAAAAAATCTGCAGTATACCAGGGAAGATTTTGTTTGTTTGTTTTTTAAATAATAAGAGCACTAATTCTTCTGGAAATAAGCAAATCACTAACTGAGGTCAAGAAGAAAAGCAAGGCCTTGACAGAAAAAGCCAGTGGTGACATGCCTTCTGCCAAGTGCTATGGCACATTGTATCATACTTGAACATTTAATACCCATAGAAAAACAAGAAGAGAAAACAGGATTGGCGAAAAGCACGTACATTTTTCCATACATCTGGATTTTTTTCCACATCATCTGGAAGCGATTCAAATTTCTCGGGAAATAGTTCAGACAAGCGAATTAGGTCTTCCCAGCCTTGATCTGGAAGCCAAGCATACGGTTTCTTTCGTGCACTCTTCTCCAGGGAAATATTGCCTAGTCACATTCAGAAATCAGAGTGAATTTCCGTGTCATAAATGCTCCAATATATGACCACACATACAGTCCCACTGCACAGAGGAACCAATTGGAAATTTGTTTCTGGGAGCACTGTAAGATTGAACTGGTCTGCTGAAGAAAAGATGGCATTTTACAAGCACTTGCAAAAGCCAGTTTTATCTTTGCAAACATTTCTAAAATTATTTATAAATAGTCAGATAATAACTAAAGATTATTTTCTCAGGTAACATCCTAACAATTAGATAATGTGAGATGTGTCAACATCTGCAGAGAAAGATTAGCCTCTCTGCTGTTTAACAAAGTGAAAAAATAGAAATAGCAGAATCCACAATTTGTGTAAAACAACACAGTTCAGCTATCTTCAGTAGTTTCTCTAGGTGCTAGCTCTTACAGTAAATCAAATCTAGTCAAGAGCTACTGCTACATGTAACTATATAATTATTTAGATATATATATTCACTTTACCTTTCAAAAAGAACTCAAGTTCTTCTTGTGGAACTCTGCCATCAGCTTGTTCTATCCTGACAGTCATATTAAAGGAGAACAGTAACTTGTGCTTCTCAAACAAACCTACATTAAAAGGATAATATTTTCAAAAATCAGCTGCTAAAACTTGTGGAACTGGATCCTGCATCTGGTCATTCCACAAAGATCAAGGTGATCAAAGATGGGGCTTTGGATCAGGCTTAGAGTCAAATCAGCATCTGTGAGCTACATCCAGGGATGTGAGATCCATAGCTGCAATTTACCATTCATAACTGTATTAGGAAAAGCATTTCTTTCAAAGTTACATTGGTAATCTGCAGTTTCTTCAAACAGAGATAGCAGGGAGTAAAGTGTAAACTAGAACCAATGCTGAGAACTGAATATTAGTGAATTCACTGGCTGGTAGCTTGCCTCTTTAATGCAAACCAACTGGCTTTTAACAAATATTTGCATAACACAGTACCAGCCCATCATTAAATGGCACTAACCTGTGCAGCCGTAGTTATAGGTGTTGAAAGTCAGTGTATCCATGATGTTTTTTAACCTCTTAAGAAGAATAGGACTGGGCATGGATTTCCGAAGAGAGAGTCCAAAAACCTCCAAGAAGGAGACCAATGAGTACTGATACATGATGTTGACAAGTGCCATTTCAGACAGAACAGAGAATAAAACAGCCCCCCTCCTGGCAGCTGGTCTGTAGCCATCTCGAAGACGATCAATATCCACCGCTGTCGTCTCAGCCAGATTCAGTTTTTCAATCACCTAGACATACATTAATTTTATACACATGTAATTACTGAGCTGATCCACAGTATATATGTAATATCACAATAAGCAGAGCTATTCAGTGCCTGCCTCTCTAAGTTGACTATACAGAGAATCTGGGCGGGTAACTCTAAAGAAGCAGTATGAATTGTAAAAATCAAAAGTTAGATAAAATGAATCCCACCCTGTGTTTTTATGAAAAGTAAAGGCAAAGATTTACACAGAATCATAGAAATAGTGTGGGAAAGGCCCTCTGGGGCTCTTTAGTTCAACTTTCTGCCCAAAGCTGGACTACCCCCGCCACTAGCTGTGGCTTTGCCCAACTACAGCCTGAAAACCTCCAAGGATGGAGATTCTACATGCCCTCTGAGTAAAAATTATCTTAATTTTTCATTTCAGATCTGATACAATACATGACAAAGGTTGTTTCAGAGCTGAAAGAAATATATCGTATGCTCTTTCCTTTAGAACTGTAAATAACCATTACTTTGGTCCTGATAAGGACTCCCCTGAAGATGGGATTTGGTTCTCTGATTCAATAAAATACTGTCCAATACAGAAAGATGTAACATACTCATAAGAAAATTCTCCATTTCCTATCAAACTAATTCCTAGCTCCAAGGGTGAAAGATGAAGCACAATGCAAAAGGAAAGACAATGTTCTATTAGTAGATATCCTTCCAAAAAGCCCAGAGCCGGTACCTCAGTAGCTTTGGATTTTGTCTCTTCCAGGGTTTGCACCAAGTCCAAGTTATCCAACATGTTTCCTGTGGAAGACGTCAGTTCCCGAAGGAGAGAGTCTTCCAGATCTTTCAGCAAGTTTTTGTTGTCACTTGTCTCCTGGATGAGCTGCTCTCTCTGTTCTTCCAATTCCCTTCTTTCAAAACCTGTGATAACGCTGAGCAACTGATCCTCTAGGCCCTTTAGTGTAACTATAGATACAACACATGTACACAGCACAGAGTCTTTTTTTAAACACAAGGAGAGCTTGTACACAACTTATTTCATCTCGATCATCTCATAAAGTACAGCAATGCAACAGAGTGACTTGGTTAATAACTCTATATCTTAATTCTACCAAAGCATCCTAACCTGACAGATGCAAGAAGAGATATTTAGCTTAATTTCAGATTAAGAGAGTGAGAATAATTTTCTATTAAATCAGATGCTGAGTATAAGGGAGGCTATGCATTTTTTAGAGTTTCATTGCTGTTTCAGACAAACACCAAGGCCCTAAACTTGCACTACAGCATAATCACTACTCTATTACTAAATATACACTTTTGCTTACCTGTATAATTGATAACCATAGCTTTGCCAAACACAGAGGGAGAATACTTTGGGTTTGATAATTTGGTGTTCAGGTACAATCTAAAATCACTGTCATAGTCAACCTCTTTGTCACCCAGGACAATGAATATTCGCCCCTGTGCAACTTTGATATTCTTCTCTAAGACATTGTCTATCACAGGATCAATGTATTCATCAACACCATGCAACAAGAAAGGGTTTCCATGCTTTATGGCCAGTTCTAGTTGTTTAAGGAAATCTGGGTCATTAAAGGAAGCCATCTGCAAGAGAATAACGTGAAGATATGAAATGTGTGTCAACACATTTGTTAGTACACAATTGGTTCCCCATTCAAGACCACAGATATTTATGCAGCTTTTACAACAATCAGTAAAGAGGTAAAATGATCATTTATCTTTACCCTCAGGTTATTTTTTTCTTCTTTCTTCTTAATCCAATGTAATGCCTGTTGTTGTGGGTCAATACAGAGTGGGAAGCGGCTCGCATATGTTGTCAGGATGCCGTTCTGGATAGAGAGCTCATCTGGAGGCAATCCTTGGGAAACCCACCTGGGAACAGAATGGATCAAAGACCAGGCTGGGACAAAAACTTGATGGGAGAGCAGCACATTTCATTTGTCAGTAAAGTTATGCAATTCACTGTGCACACTATCAGACACCTAAGGAAACATATAGCGTATGTGATTGTAAGAACAGTGTCAAAACTCAGACTGATTCACTGAGTCATTTGTAACTACACTATTCAAAACACTGACTGTTGCACTTGGTGAGTAATCCTGCAGTAGTTGAAATATGGGCTACCTGGGCATGGGTTTAATTCCAAATTCATTGAAGTCAATGAAAAGACTCCTGCTGGGCTTTGGGTTGAACACATATTATAGATAACTCCTTAAAAAAAGTCCTAAAAAGGTATTATATGTGTCTAGGTTCAGTGAATGTCCCTGGAGTGTCAAGTACAATGGTTTGTTATAACAAATAGCCTCTGTTAACCCGAAAAAAAAAAATTGTCTCCTTACCATCTTTGAGACAAGAAAGTGAAATGGGCTCTCTCCACCCACAATGCCAATTCTATGCTACAGTTTCTGATCCAGACTCTCACTTCACAATTTTACATTCAGTAGTCACTGGGTTTCTTGACAGGACATACCTGCTAACCTCCACCTCATTAGTCAGGAGGCTTTCTAACCTAAACGGTTGACTGAGAGGAATCTCTCGTGAGAGGATATCTTCTTGCCACACTTGATAGATCATTTCATTACGAAACTCCCAGTTAAATGCTCCTTCATAGCTCAGAAAGGCAGCGCTGAGTAGACAGTCTCCAAGCAACTTCACCTTTCGTATTTCATAGTCCTCTAATTCCTTTGTCCACCTGATGGAATTATAAGGCAATCTTGGGTCAGTCTGTACCAGGGAGATGGGGTTTATATACAGAATCTCCAGCTGCTGCTACTTGAGATGTAGGTTGAGACAGACCCCCAAATTTACAATCAGTTGTTGTCTCACTATTATAATGTCAACAGACATTGAGTTGATCTGAACCTTCTTCCTTTTAATCTGAGTTCACCTTTTTCTTCTGCACTAAAAATTGTTTTTATTTTTCAAGAGCTAACAGATATTAGCTCTTCTCAGAAACAAACATCACAGGAAGTGACGTTTCCAAAAATGTCTCAGTGTGATAGATTTTATCCCTGGCACATGACCCTCTGATGTCAAAAATGTCCCTCTTTGAATCTAGACTTACCTCTTGTTCTCAGATCTCAGGCCGAAGATGAGCTTGTCAGCAGCATTTAATCTTCTCTGCATAATCTCTGCTTCTTCTTGTAACTGTTGCTTTTCTTTTATTGCCTCTTGATATTTGTTCCCCAAAGCTTTAAGCTCATCCTGAATGGTAGCCAACTCTGCCTTTATCTTTTCCAGTTCCCGCTTAGTTGAGTAATAGTTCCGTTCTAGCCTAGCCACCTACGTTACATTATGAAGGAAAATAAGAGTATCAGGGGAAAGAAGGGCTTTGGAGAGGAGTCTTAAATTCTCAGATTTCTTTTGCCTATTATTTCATGTATTTCAAAGTGTCCTGGTAATAAACAGTGTAAGCTAAAATAACTGTTTCTCACCCACCTCTCCCTATCCCAAACATATACATCATGGTCTGATACTGCAGTTCCAAAGCAGATAAATCTCCTAGAGTTTTGTACCCACAAGGTACATTAAAGCATGCGAGCAGTCCTGCTGACATTGGAGGTCAGCAGCACTGTTGTCCCATGACAAAAGAGGAGGTTCGTCTGCTTAATAACAACAATATTAAGACCTCAAAACCAGTCAGACTCATCATCTAGTGAATATACTTTCTCAGTAGTCAGCTGTATATAATAACTTTTTCTTGAAGTTTCCCAGCAAAATCTGCTGGACATTAGGTTTCCTTTCTTAATACAACTACCTTTCCAGTCGTTCTAAAAAAAAGTTAATCAAAAGGTCTGTGCTTAAGGGACATGGATGTTGTGTACTACTGAGCTCTGCTCTGTCCAAATGCCATGTGTTTTGAAGTCTCTTTTCAGTAGATAGCTATAAATTGTGTTTTTCTAACCATGTTAGATTACAAAATTCCAGCTGAACACATTCCTCCCTTCTCCTTCAAGCACTGGTGTGGATGGGAACCCACATCCCAGCATCATGACACAACAAACACAGAAGTTTGCAGCTGAGTACCTGCCTCACTCCTACTGCAATAGCTTTCCTAAACACCTCTTTTTAAGCACTTCAAAGAGGAGACATGGGCAGCCTATGAAATTGCCAAGTATTGTTTTTCTCATCAGGATCATGCTTCACCCTCCTCTGAGTTTGAATCCACACACTTTACCTTTTCTCTCTTTGGCTTGACTTCTTTAACTACATCACAATAGCTCATCACTGCTTCAACAAACTTTAACATTCCCAGTCCTGCTCTGCTAACAAGTTCCATTTCAGTGAAGGTAGTGTTAAGATTCTTTAACAGACCTAAACGGGCAAATAGAAGAATATTGCGAGTTGAATTACAGTGCAGAAATCCTC